AAAAGTCATCTGACAAAAAAGGTTGGTGAAGTGATTTATTTATACATGTACTACTGAAAGGCGCCCGGAACAGGAGAAATTTGTTTTAGCTACCAGTATCAGAAATAGTACATTTATATACACTTATAGTTACTGGTCAAATTATCTTGAAGTATGTTCTTAATACCATTGATAAACTGGTAATATAAAAGAAAGGTAAAATACTTCAAATTTAACTTGTGGAAAAATAAGTCCAAATGTCACGATACATGGATATGAACTGCAAAAATATACTTTTTAGGGATTATAGATTTTTCGAAAATTAAAAAATTAACTGAAAATAAGGTTGAAATTCGGTATGTTTGTGTTGATTATTGCGGATATGTCGAGGTGAGTCCTCTGTATTAATCACTTACATGTAATTGTTTTCCAAAAACTTATTCGAGTCATTTACAGGTATTGAAGTTAATATGGCGTCGATAAATCAATCTGCCATAATCCATTTAACTACAGAAAATGTTCATTAAGTAGCATTTAAAAAATGACCAGAAAATATTCCTACCAAGACTTTAACACTTTTCTTTTTTAGTATACGTCTTATATAATTTATGCTTCCTTGTAAAACAAAAGAAAATGTTGTGTGAAACAAGAATGCCTCAATTAGGATTCGAAACAAACTAGAGATACTCAAATTAGGCTTAAACTCACACAAGTCATGGTGTTTGAAAAGAAGTTAATGAATGTTCCTATAATATATATTTCTGTGACATTCAACCATTCAAAATCTATGGACAAGGTTAAAGATTTTTAAAGGTAGGTCAAACTCGAAGGTCAAGGACAAAGAAGTCAAAACTGTTGGTACCCAAGTTAAGGTCTTGCCAGAAGGAATAAACATGAAATATGAAAGCCTTAGCACCAACTGTTCAAAAGGTATGGCCAAGTTTCAGGTTTTTGAAAAGTACGTTAAACTCCAAGGTCAAAGTCAAAGGGTCAAGATTGTTGGTATTGAAAGGAAGAGCCTATCACAAAGAATACACCTTTGGAATATGAAGCCCTAGTGCTAACCATTCAAAACTTTTGGCCAAGGTTAAAGTTTTTAAAAGTGGGTCAAACTCCAAGGTCAATGTCAAAATTATTTACACCCAAGGAGAGTTTTTTTTCAAAAGAAATAGACATGTGAAGTATGAAAGCCCTAGCACAATCTGTTCAAAAGTTATGGCCAAGGTTAAAGTTTGGTAAAATTTTGCAAAAGTGGGTCAAACTCCAAGGTTTCGAGGTCAAATATGTTGGTACCCAAAGAAAGGTCTTGTCACAAGGAATACAATGTGAAATATGAAAACCATGGCTCTAACCAATCAAAAGTTATGGGCAACTGCTAACTGTTTTTGCGGACAGACAAACAGACAGCTAGACAAACAGAGAGGCGGATAGATAGAACAAAAACTATATGCCCCCGAATCTTCTATTACGGAGGGCATAAAAAGCATCTGAAATATTTACTGACCACGCAAATTGACTCCGACAATATATATGTATTGATATAACAGCCACAGTGTAAAACGTGGGCTTCATCTTTTTAAATTTTATGAATCAGACGTACATTTCACACTGTCTGTAATTAATCAAATGCACTTACGACCATCCCTAACAAAAAATACTATAGTTAACTATAGTTTACTATAGTTAACTATAGTTAATCAAAGTTTCAAAGTTTTTTTTATAGTAAATCAAAGTTCCAAAGTTTTTACTATAGTTAATCAAAGTTCCAAAGTTCTCACTATAGTAAATCAAAGTTCCTAAGTTTTTACTATAGTAAATCAAAGTTTCAAAGTTTTCACTGTAGTAAATCAAAGTTCCAAAGTTTTTACTATAGTAAATCAAAGTTCCAAAGTTTTAACTAAAGTTAATGAAAGTTCCATAGTTTTCATATTAGTTTATCAACTTATTAAAGTATCTTCATATTTTGTTTTGTTTATTTTGCCGTTTTTAGTGGGTGGAGGTGGCCCGGGGTTTGGTGGGGGCTAGGGGTTGTTGTTCGTCTTAATTTAAATTAACGAATTAGTTAATTGAAATGAAATATTTACATTTATAAACTGAAAAAATACACGTTTACTGAAGTTGATGTAACAGGTGCTTGGGTTCTTAATGATGCAATTTTTATTTTATAGTATATTATTTTCCTTTCGCCATAAAAAACTTACATTACATCTGCATAGTTCTCTGATGCTTTTATGAACATCATAAAATGTCAAGAATGGTAATCAAAAACATAATTCCACGGATTTTAGTAAATCAAAATTTTTACTATAGTAAATAAAAGTTTCAAAGTTTTTACTACAGTTTGTCAAAGTTTCAAAAGTTTTTACCATAGTAAATCAAAGTTTCAAAGTTTTTACTATAATAAATCAAAGTTCCAAAGTTTTCACTAAAGTTAATCAAAGTTCCACAGTTTTCACTAAAGGTAATCAAAGTTCCAAATTTTTTACTACGAGTGTTGTCCCAGAAAAACGCGAACTTTTTGAATATTTCAAAAACTATTCGACCAAAATAAATGATTTTTTTGCACCTTGTTGGGAAATGAAATTTTTGCTATTTTGACAAAATATTATAAAGTTGTGATGTCAGATGCATGTAATAATAGCTTTCAAAGGGTGTCCAATATCGGTGCTCGGCGCACGGCAATTTTTTGTGTTTTAGAAATAGCATTGTCAGGGAAGTTTTCTTTATCACCAGGCTATACGGAAATAAAAAGTGAAAAAATTGCCCCCATAAAAACTCTATGATCTGAAGTACTCATGTGTGAAAATTCATAAATTTAGCATCACAAGTGACAAAACTATGACGTTAGATGCAAAAACACCTTTACATAGATATTGTCAAAAAAAAGTGACGCCGGGCGATAATGCGGAGCACCAAATTATCAAGCAGTACTGTTGAGCAGGATATGACACCTGTCCATACGGGAAAAGATATCTAAACGATGGAACGACACAAACATATACCTCGGACATAGATTTATAGCTAGGTCAATAGGTTCGAGGATGGCTTGACTGATTATTCGATGGAAAAAGCGTTTGTTAGACCAACAAACTGAAAAGTCAGAAGGCGGACGCCATACGTGGCGGTGGCCGTTTAACTAAGCGAGCAGTTAGGTAAACCTATGACCTGGGTTGGGAAATTGTTAAAGTTTATTAAAAGATTTAATTCGCGATCTTTTGGAAACGATAATTAATACCTGAGATGAAAAGAAAATTAAATACACTGTCAAATTTATGCTTCAAACAAATTTTATCAGACTCACGATTCCATACTAAATTCACAAACGCCACGAGTTACGTTTTGACGTCGTCAGTGTTGCGCCGACAGCTATTTTGTAAGATTCGTTTACCTGAAAGAAAAATCTTATTGAAAGAGACATTTTATTGAAACTTTTATGTATTATTCAAAAAATGATGATAATGGTGTACGCCAATTTTTAACTTTATAGTATTAGTGAAACAAAAGATATTAAAAATGTTTCCGTTTTTCTGGGACAACCCTCGTATAGTAAATCAAAGTTCCAAAGTTTTCACTATTAATAGTAAATCAAAGTTCCAAAGTTTTTACTATAGTAAATCAAAGTTCCAAAGTTTTTACTTTGATGCTATAGTTAACTATAGTATACTACTAGATGAAATCCCGCGCAAGCGCGGGGAATTGAATTTATACTACATGTACTACCGACAGAAAATATATTGTAGTTTCTACTGACAGCCTACAGGGTTATAGCATCAAGAAATAATTTGTTCAAAACCCCGCATGTGCGTCCCCCCCCCCCTTTTGTAAAAACTTGAAAAAATGACAATTACATTAATTGATGTTTATTGTGAAACCTGTTATACTATGTTATGGATATATTGTTTGCTCTTATTTCATTTCCGTCAAGGATAAATTAAAAGCAGCGAATATGCACATTTTACTTATAAATTGATATTTTTTTTGGGGGGGGGGGGTGGTGGTGGTAAAAATTCACAGGTACTTGTGTTTTGGTTTATAAATATGTATGTACAAGTACATGTACCTTATTGATATGTAAAAAATGTACTTTACCTTTTTTACATATCAAGAAGGTTCATACATATACATAAACCAAGACGCAAGTATCTGCGTAAGAAATAGCTTTTAACGCCCTATGAATAGGCCGAATATTTGATAATATACATATTTTACCGATACATCTGTTAGGAAAACCTACTACATATATGTAACAGTCTTTCGATATATAAATATATTCACAACTTATAGTGTTATTAATGATTTACCATTATTTCAGTGACCATTCACACATAAGTTTTTCTTAGGTTCCTACAGCTATAATTGTCTCGTTTTTCTTTTTGACATCGGGCTCGATGCTATATGATGTTCTAGAAGCTTCCGTCAATATTAAGATCGGTGAATGACAAAAATAATTTGCACATTTTCCTTTTCAATCGGTTATCACAACTTATTTCTTTTATGTCATTTAAATCAAGTTTTGATCGAATAATTCAGTGATGACGTTTTATGAAATAAATAAACGATTGATTGTTGTCAGTTTCATTGAAAGTTGCTAGAAACTTAGATCCGCCAACCGGAAACGGCACCGTACTCACGTTTTTGCTATTTCATGGCTGTATATAGAAAATAAAAGTAGACTTTTAATTTAATGCACGATACTGATTCTGCGAGTAAAATCTAAATATAGTTTACGGACATCATATTGTATCTAGTGTTTTCTTAGAGGAGTAAGTAAAAACTGTGGTGCATCCGTTTCGGAGTTTATTTGCAAAATCTATTAATTTATAAGTATAGATAATTAACTATAGTTTACTATAGTATTTTTTGTTAAGGATGAATTAGCTATACGTTTTAATTCCTCCAACTTGAAATAAAATATTTGCACTTCCTGTAAATTAATTTTAATTTGAATGAGACTTTGAATATACATAATAAAAGTTTTCAATTGTAATTATTTCTTTTTCTTTGCATAATTAATATTTTTAATGGAGGGCATTTCTAAAAATGTGTTAGTCCTGAATTTTCAAATAGATTCGAAAAATGTCAAGGATCAACAGGTGTGGGCACCTCGCCCTGAGCCCATTCCGGGCTGTCCTCCTGGACTAGAATACTTAACAACGGTGGATCAGCTACTTGTTAAACAGCAGACAGAGCTTTTAGAGGGTTTGTACATATAAAATGAATTGTTTTAAAAGCTTGGTTTTTATTAAACATCTACTTATTATTCTGCACCTTATAATCTGTTCAAAATAATAAAAATCTTTTATGATTAATATTGCAAAATTATAATATTCCTGAATTAAAATGAAATCCAATGTCTTTTACATTTCTTATTATTATTTTGCCTTGTGTGATTAAGAAAAGATGGCTTGTATTTTATCAATACTACATATTTTGTTCTGTAGTTCTCGTAGGATGGGAAACTGCAAATAAGTACAAGATCAAAACCAAAAGTGGACAACAAATCTATTTTGCAGCTGAAGGTATTTGTTGTCTTATCACTTGGAGGAGTCTTTATATTATGACAAGCTTTCCTTTAAAAAAATAAATGGGGAGGGGGTAAGTGACGTCTTGTCCATCATTATACACAAAGGTGGGTTTGGACCATTGGTTTATTTAGCCATATCTTCTAATTAATGTATCAATAGATAATAAGTACACAGTGCTTCAATGTTTGGGTGGAGGGGAGGTTAATTCAGCATGGTGAGACTCCAGTGTGCCCTGGCAATATCATCACTATTACTGTGCATATATGTTCGTCTGTTAATCAGAACAGAACTTTAAGCATTGTTTTAATTGCTCACCTTATTTAAATGTTGAAATCGAAGAAGTCTATGGCACTACAAGTTGAATATAATGCAGTGTGCAACCGTTTTTTAGTTGAGATAAGCTTTTTAAATTTTAGTTCTGAAATGACTGAATTATAGGAAGATGCAGTTTTGCCAAAATAGATATGTTTCCCCCTTTTTACAGGTTATAATACGAAACTGGCATGAAATGCTTTTAAGAATGCCTAACTATGAATTCGAGCATGCGCATTCTAGTTTTAGAAAAGGATTAACTAAGTTAAAAGTACTTATTTGAATTATCTAAAGTAAAAGTATAGTCATTGATTCTAACATTATTGATCTCCTTTGATTGATATTTAACTGTCATAAAATTGAAGTAAAGAACTTCAATTTCGTAAGGAAGTTACAAGTAAACAGGGGATGAATGTATGTGGTGATTAAGGAAAATAGAATTGATCACTCCTCGAAGAATGTGTTTTACTGGCATATCTTGCTTTTATTTTCAATTTTAACATTATGAATAGATCCTTTTTTTCATATTTGTCTTATTTGATTTTTTTTTTAAATTTGATATTTGATTGCTTAAAGTCGAAAACAAAACCCCTGTCATTTCTAGCCCAATCGAGCGCTACCGACTGTAAATACTGAGTCTTTTTAACGGGTAATGCGCATGCTCGAACTCACGGTAGAGCATTCCTGGAAAACGCTTTCCTGATTCTATGGTGATTAAATACATGTATATGATTCTATTGCCGACGGAAAGTAAACGCGAGTTTCCTGATTTTAGACCAACAACCAATAATTCAGAAAACCACTTCTTTGTGTAATTATCATGGCTACAGCGATAGCCTAGCTATATTTTTCAAAGGTGAGCTTCTGAAGAGCAAAATATATAATTGTTATAATCTACATTTGAGTCCCAAAAATAAAATAAATAGAAATTAATCTATAATATTGTTTAATGGGATGTCAATTCTCCAAGAAGATAGATAAAGTAGCATATTGACGTCCAATCAGATGTGTAATCAAGAATGGCATGATATCAAATTGATATTGATTAATACAATACAGAGTTATCAATAAATAATCTAGAATATTTATATGCTTTTACTCTATTCTAAAAAATGCAAAATGAAAGAGTGAAGACGTTCATTTGACGATCATCTATAATGAATAATGCTGCAGTTTTTCCAAAATCATTTATGAAGCAGGACTATTCATGTACAATTTCTTAAAATTAAGGTTTGATAAGGGTTATTTTTCAAATGAAAGAAGAAATTAAATTATAATTGATAAAATTCCATTTGGCAGAGTCAAATGCCTGCGCTCGCCAGATTTGTGGCCCAAAAAGAGGTTTTACAATGCACATCACAGACAACATGGGGGAGGTGAGGAAATTGTGATAATTACAAATTTAGGTAAATCATTTTTATACCAAAGTCTTCAAGAACGGGTCTTAATCAGGTTGGATCCACGACAAATCACTAGGAAACTGCATTACTGTATTACACTGTCTATCTTTTTTTTAGGAGAGTGTTTGGGCATAGTAGCCATATTGAATCTTACAAAGAACTTTACACATTTAACAGCATTTGAATTTTTTTATTCATTTGTATTTGAGGTTAGAATTTTTTGGATCCATGCTATCAATAAATCAATAGGTTTCTGTCAAGTAAGTATCTGTATCCATTGTATATATGTTTTAAATAAGGCAATATTTACCCCTATGTTCAACAGGAGGTGATCCGAGTAACAAGGCCGTTTAAGTGTTTTGCTGGATGCGCATGGTGTGCTTGTATTAACGCTTTTGCTCATGGGGTTACAGTTGAAGCACCACCGGGACAGGTGGTAGGATATGTCAAACAACAGTAAGTTCTTTTCTTATAAAGATATTTTGATGAAGGGATATATCGTAACTGTAAATCGGCATTATAAAAAGATAGACAGTGAGGATATACAGGTATTGTAACCGTAAAAAGGTAAATAGGAGGTTTATATTGTAACTGTAAAAAGATAAATAGTAAGGACTACATTGTAACTGTAAATCAGCATTGTAAAAAGATAAATAGTGAGGATTATATTGTAATGTAAATCAGCATTGTAAAAAGATAAATAGTGGGGATTATATTGTAACTGTAAATCAGCATTGTAAAAAGGTAAATAGAGGGGATTATATTGAAATGTAAATCAACATTGTAAAAAGATAAATAGTGAGGATTATATTGTAATGTAAATCAGCATTGTAAAATGATAAATAGTGAGGATTATATTGTAACTGTAAATCAGTATTGTAAAAATATAAATAGTGAGGATTATAAAGTGAGATTATTAGTGAGGATTATATTGTAATGTAAATCAGCATTTTAAAAAGGTAAATAGTGAGCATTATATTGTAAATGTAAATTAGCATTGTAATGAAAAATGAGGGTGAGGAGATTATATGGTAGCTGTATATATGCATATGGTTACTTTAAAAAATAGATGGATTTGACCATTTTCTGTGGTTTTCTCTGTATTACATGTAGTTGTTCAGTAAGTCAATAATTATGAATTTGTTAGAGGTAATGCATTTATTCTGTATAATTAAGATCCTATCTTACTCACAAATTATAATGTTAGGAAAGTGCATCATATTATTTTAATGAACATTGTTTGTTTATTTCTCTGAATACAGACCATTATTTGATACATGAAAAAATATGAGTGATCTATTAATTAAAGAGTTCAAATCAATCAGCTATTTATTTAAAAAATAGCTGGGTTTTAATAAAAGACAAGATATACATCTTCTGTAAGTTTATTTAGATAAAATATGATGCAGAAACATATTTAATCCTTAAAGGCTAATTTAAAATGAATTCAACACAACCATAACTTATTAAAAAGTTTTTGTTAATGATATTTTAAGAATCTGTAAAAGCCAGCGTTGATCAATTATAAATAATTATAAAAAGAGATTGATTATTTGTACACTATCCTCTTTTTTTTCAGACTGAGTTGGTTTCCACCAAGATATTCAATACTGGATGCCAATCGCCAGGAGGTCTTTTGCATCAGAGGTCCTCTCTGCATGATTACAGGGCCATGTTGTCCATTCGACCTTGAATTTGAGGTGAGTATCAACTAGAATATAAAGTTCAGTTCATAAATATTTAAACATTTCTATACCTAGGGATCGATGTTTAAAGGAAATGTTCTTCTTAAAATACAACATTTTGAGTGGGACCAGTTTTAACCAATTTGGTTAAAAGGATCTATGGGTGATAGGAATTGTGATTTGTTCAAATGATAGAGCAATCCCCCTTATTTTCAATGGAAGAAAACATTAATTAAGAATTAAATTATGAAAAATTGAAAATAGGTTGGGTTATTTAAAAACCTGAACTGCAAATATTCTAATGTTGTCTACGGAATAAAATGTACCTTTAGATGGCTTATTTATATTGGTGTAACCAAGGGTCCACTGAATAAAAGAATATCGGGGCATATATTTTTAAATTAACAACGGGGGTCAACAGATTCTATACAAGCACTTAATTTACCCGATCATTCTATTTTGTCAGTGAAAGTTAGAATTCTAGAAAAGGATTAACCATCATACAAATTGTCCATCATTGAGTACACCTTTCCATAGACAACGAATAGAATACTGGATTATAAAAATAAGCATGATGTCGATCGTGTTGGAAATCTTTCATGTCAACAGTTAGCAATGTGAATGTGATGGGACTTTTTAACAATACAGAGAGACGTGAGCGTAGTCATGGAGATCAATCTTACAATAAACCTATTATACACGTTGTCTCCTTTGATTCACTACAACCTTATGTAAATAAACAGTTATGTCATCATATTCCCACCAAACTTTATTCTGTCCCTTTGAAAGTTTTAAATAGTCAATTTGAAAAAGTCATATAAAGTCCATATTTGGATTCTTCGACACCAGAATACAGGTTCGGATCTGTGATTAAAGATATTGCAAATCATGTGCTTTTTAAACCGCCACGTTTTACGGAAGAAAATATTGCTCAAACAACCCGTTTGTTCCTTAAACATCAATATGCCAACAAAGGAATTGACGCAGTTAATATAAGTAATATTCCTAATCACAATAGGGTCCAGTCTTGTATTCCACCATATTTCAGGTTGAAGTCCACGCCTTGTATTTCTTACAAATATACATCGACTTATGGTTTCAAACTTTTTAATTAAAAAAAACCTCTACAGTGCCTACATTTTGTAGATATCAAAAATCTGAAACATAATCCTCCACTGTGTTCATGTTCTTCTTCATCCTACACTGTACACAAGCATGAAAAATACCTTGACACTTTGTTTTTGTGGATTAAGAGTATCAGATGGATGTTGAAATCTCCCATTAAGCGATTGAGGGGCAATATGAAAACAATATACCCTTCTCTTTTCATTAATTCAGAAGGGAAAAAAAGAATAAGATAGATTACACGATCAGTATGTACTGGTCCCAGGCAACGGGTAACAACATTGTCTTTGTTTGTAAGACTCATTATTTTAATTGCATTTTCGAGGAACTGGGATTTAATTCTGCAAGTGCATGGTAATCCAACTTATACCCTTAGCTCCTTTTCTAAAGAGGAAATTCTTCAAAATCATATATCAGTTTTAAAAAATTTTAATATTAGCAGCAATCGAAATGAATTTGAATTACCATGTCTATACTTGATTCCTAAACTTCATAAAAATACATGGCGCGCGGGTTCCAGTTAATGTTCTACCAAACGTCTTTCTTTACTCCTCACTAAAATATGAACAGCGGTGAAGGAGAAACTTCAGGAGTACTGTACAACTATATATTCGAGAAGTGGTGTAAATCAGATGTGGATACTTAAAAACTCCAAGGAACTTTTAGATTATATGAAATCACAAAATTTTACCATATCAGTGACATCAAAACGTACTACTTTTCAACACTTTATACAACCATTCCCCACGATAAATTAAAGTCCAGGGTTTTTGACTTTATAGAAAGTTGCTTTTTTATAGAATGGAATTCGTAAATTTACCTACCTACATTTGCAAAATAATTTTGTTAAAAAACATTCTGATTCTTCACACAAGTACTCTGAAGTAGATATTAAAAAGATGCTTGGGTTTCTGATTAACAATATATATGTAGGTTTTGGAGACCAGGTCTTCCAACAATCTGTTGGAATTTCCAAGAGTACCAATTGTTCCCCTGTGTTAGCAGACCTATTTTTGTATCCTTATGAAGCAGAATTTATTCAAAATTTTGAACATAAGAAAAAGAAATCTCTTGCTGTGGCCTTCAACATTTAGATATATCAACGACGTATTATCAGTAAAAAATAGTTTCTTCCATTCATATGTCGACTCGATATATCCCAATGACCTTGAAATAAAAGATACCACAGAGTCGGACATTTCTGTTTCTTATTTGGATATTTTACTAGAAAAAGACGTTGATGGTAACCTAACAACAAAACTTTATGATAAAGGTAATGACTTCAATTTTCTATCGTCATCTTCCCTTACTTATGTGGCAATATACCCTTATCGCCTGCATAAAGGTTTATATCTACCAGATGATTCGATACGCAAGAGCATTCTAAAACGAACCATTATTGACAAACAAATTAAAGTAATGAAACAAGAATATCAACAGTCTCGTTTAAAGTCATCATTTTGCAAGTATGGTCGATGCCATGACCTTGTCAGCAAATACAATCTATCATTAAGTCGAGTGCTGACTGACATTTTTCATACTTCATTGTAATTGATAGGCCATTTTTTAAACACTGAATTGTCTACCGATTTTTCCGTTTGCCTGATCATGACAATGAGCACAAGGCGGTTGTAACCGGTTGACAGGGGATGCTTACTTGCAAGTACTCTGAGGTTGATATTAAAAAGAGGATGCTTACTCCTCCATGGTAACTGATCATACTACCGATGTTTTTAGAGGTCCGTGTTTGCTCTGCTCCCGATTTGTATTGTTTCAATTGACTTTTGAGCTTGATTACTGTTCATTATTCTCTAATTTTCATCTTCTCAAGAACAAAATAAGATTCAAATCTGTCGAGGGGAAGGGATGGGGGTGGGGCTGAAATGTGATTTAGTTTTTAATTGAAATGTGTAAACAAAAAAGTTAAAATGTTATCAAGAGGTACAATTAATGACCTTAGACAAAAATGGGGTCAATCTTTACGCAGACAATTATGCATTTAATCTTCTCAAGAAATACAGAAATGCAAATTGTCAATTTGTTCGCAAGTATTCTCATGTAGTCCATATTCATGTTTGTTCAAACCATGGCCCCTTTGATAGGAATTTGATAAAGAATTCAATGTCTTTTGGTGAATTATAATTATGGTCTTAAAAAATAAAATATATTCACTATCATTGAATGAACTATTACAAATTTATGCTATTAACAGTTTGTATTTCTAAAAAAAATAAAAAGGAGGTAGTAAAAAAAATGTTAAAGACATTTTGGATTCAATTAAATAAAAGTCTCAAAAAAGGTAAATAACTGTTTTGTGTACATGTGCATTTACATGTGAAGTGATAGTAAGCTTCGAGACAAATATATTACATGTATTATTCCAAGGAAGAGAATTTGTCACTACTTGACGTAAATTTTTTCCAGGTGTTTGCCAAGGACGGGAATACAAGTGAGGGGAAGATCAGCAAGAAGTGGGGTGGAATGCTAGACTATGTCCTCGACATTGGCTCTGATGCTGACAGTTTTGGAGTTTCGTGTAAGTATATAAATAGTTGGGTGGTATTTTGACTGACATGTTTTTACCAATTGTTAGGTCATTGTGAGGGGATGCTTACTCCTCCAAGGCACTTGATCTCATTTCTTGTGGTTTCCAGGGTCCGTGTTTTTGCTCTATTTACGATCTGTATTGTTAAATGAAACTGCCCATCATTTCACCTTTTGTATCATTACTTTTTTAAGTTTGTTACAAAATAAGACCTTTTTTTCATGACTTAAAGCTGCTGAACCTTTTCAGTATCTTTGATTCCATCATTAATCTGTCCAACATTGTTATGCATCTCCACTTCTGAACTTTTCATCAGGTTTTATGTTCATGATAACTCATTAGGGAATGAAAATTGACACTAATGTTTTGTTTTTTTTATCACAATTTATATTTTTAATCAAATTGTGAGGACCCTGCATTTCTGTTTTATATTTTATTATAAAAACATGATTGTCATATTGTGTCAAAATTTAGCTTGTTATTTCATCAGGAGTAAGACAAAATTTGTTATCAGTGTTAATTCTGTAACTACATGTATATCACGTGGGTGAGGTGTTTGATGGTAGGTTCCTTAGTTTTTTAATGAAGAAGTAACAATGTAAGGTAATTCTTCAAATTTTCGTATAAAATACATAGTAGAAAAGGATGATAACTCCAATGAGTCCATTGGACTAACTTTCTTTCCTGCTGCAGAAAACGTTCATCTGTCACCTTCAGATGTATTATCAAATCTGCCTGCAATAGCTTTTTAATGAAAACTTTTGCCTGGGTGATGTCAGCATTCTTATGATGTAAACTCCATTTTTTATTTTGGTTGATTATACCTTTAAAAGAATTATGATTGTATTTTTTGGTTTTGTTTGTTTTTTACATTACCCCCAAGTAAATACAAGGAAATTTTGTGCAGGTAACTGAGATCATAAATTTAAAATGACAGTGTTTAACATTGTTCAGCGTTTAAGTTTCATTTTTTAATTTATACTTTTCTTATTTATTAAATGATCAAAATTATAATTCTTAAACTCCACCTTTAGATAGATATTCCTCATCTACATGTAGGCCCTTGATATTATACAAATGTAGCTGTTCCTTAAATGTGTAAAAAAAAAAAAAAAAAAAAAAAAAAAAAAAAAAAAAAGAAAGAAAGAAAGAAAGAAAAAGAAAACTGAACAGGGTATGGATACCTTATGTACTTACATATTCTGTTTAAAGGGTATTGTGAAAAAAAATTGAGAATGTTCTTTATTTTTATAGTTCCTATGGATCTAGATGTCAAGATCAAGGCGGTGATGATTGGAGCTGTGTTCCTCATTGTAAGTTAATACATTTGTACCTCTCCATTCCTTGCTTTAAAAATTCCACTCAGAAATACATGTATACTGGCTACAGAAAGAACCTCAATATATATATATTTTTTTTTTTATTTCAAAAATAATGTTCAGAAATATCTATGCTCATTGAAAAATTATTTACATTAAACCTAAGTTTTATATCTATCACATATTTATTTTGAATATGACCCTAACTGCACTACACTGTTTACATGTAAGGTGAATTCATCATGTATCGGACCACAAATCAGACCATCGAGTAAATAAGCAATATTAGATTTTTTCATGAATGTATATTTCGAAAACAAATTCTTGTAATCCATCACTGGATTTACAGTTTTTGTTGAAACTTATCAAGAGCAATCCCCATGGAAGTTATTTAATAAAATAACTTTGAATTAAAGAAATTAGATTTAAAAAATTTTTAGTCCAAAGCAGTTATTTTTACTTTTAATCACTTTTTGGAAAATGCTTTTATTAATATTTTGCCTTTTTTGATACATTTTAATGTGATGCATGTAGTTTAACCAGCTTAGGAGACGCATTACAAGAAAAATTAACACACTAGAATGCAGCATACGTTCCCTGAATACTATCTACTACACTTCACGGATGCTAAGTATCTAAATAAACCAACAGTTTGAACCCACGAGCAGACACTAAACACCAGAGTTGCTACGCTGCTAATAAAAATACATTTTGTAACGTGAAGCAGTCACGTATCTAAGGACTATTCATGCTTCCTGAAGCTTAATCTGCATGAAATGAAGGGAGACTCTAACTCATCATTATAAATTGTTTAACAGCAAACAATAACATTATGATTTATAGCTTTAGAAGCAGATCTCTAATAATGGCCATTTTTATCACGGATAGGACACACTTTCACCACTAGCATAGGCACTTGTACATTGCAGCATCTTTGTGTCATTATATGTTACTCTGCAAATGGAGTTTGCATCTTATTTATACTACTGTATTGAAAAGATTTTTATTGTTATAGTTTGTAATTATAGCTTTTATAAATTAAGCAAAACCTCTATAAGTCTTCAAAATGTACAGAAATCAACATGAAATAATATTAAATTAATTTAAGCTTATACAGAATTTCCAGTTCAAAGTATGATCTATCCAATCCATGATAGAAATGGCAACATGTTCTAATTTTTCCTTATCCTTCAATGATATAGGCACGTATTCTCCAAAAATGTTGAATAAATTTTGAATAACTGCTTCGACTTTTCTCTTTTAACTCTTCAAAATATTTACTATTGTTTTTAAGTATACAGCTTTAATTATCTTTAAAGCAGAAGGATATCTGATCCATGGTGAATCTAAGCTAGGTACTGTAGACGCTTTTATATGTTTATTGGTGTATTGTATTGGTTTATCAAGATGAATAAGAGTGTGGATCGACTACCACCAGGGTTTTACTGATCTCTGTAATTTTAAGAGGCGAGGTACAGACTCATGTTTCTTGACTAATTTTTAATGATGTCAAGTCAGATATGGGGGTATATTGTCCTTCTTTCCCATTTTACTACAATTTTACACACTGTTTTATTAAGTATAACACACTTATAAAGGATTCAATTTGATTATTGCTTTACGTCGTGTCGGTAACATTTCAGCCATATTTCGGCGGTAAGATCAAGTTTATGTGACCGGTTTTGAAAGTTATTGGTTTGCCTGGCAGCCCCCGGTGAGCCTACTTTTTTTCGAAAACTTGGAGATAAGGGAATGCCTTTAGAGCTGTAGAGAGAGAGTTAGAGAATTCATATTGGATATCGTAAGGTTATTCCTACCTGTCAAAGTCAAACGGGACTTTGTTTCTGATTGGGTCATCAAACTTCACATTTTGTTTCTGTTTGGGTCACCAAACTTCACTAACTCATCACTTTTTATTTATTTATTTATTTATTTATTTATTTATTTTTGCAGGACTTCATGTACTTCGAAACGAGTGCAATTGATAATAGTCTCCTCTCCGGATAAACACTACACAAATTTATTGGTTCAAAACGAGAAGAGTGGAATGAAAGCAAGGAACACAATATACCAAAAACATGCTGGCAAATCAGTTAACTTATACATGAAAAACGTTTACTAGATATGCAAATACTGCGTAAAAGGAAATTTTAAAGAGATTTAACGATTTTCTCTTCAATTAAATCCTTAAATATTTTTAGTGAGAAATTATTTTAGCAATTTTTTGATGAGAGAGAAAGCTGTATTCCTTTTCTTCAGAGATTGTAAGTGAGTTGGTAAAATATGAACTAGGTAGTGAAGAAAAAAAATCACCTTATCTTATAATACTACAGACTTGGTATTAAACCAGAAAATGATTTGTTATGTTTAAAAAAAAACATTTACTTCGAATTAATATGACATGTATTTCATTTATCCATTGTAAATTTTCTCTGAAATGATATTGGTTTGAGTAAATAAGTGAATAATAGCACATGTTTACAGCCCCATGACAAAATTATGGGGCTGTATTTAAAAAAAAAATGAATATGCTTCAATTATATGCATGTTTAGAAAGCCTTTGAAAAAAAATATATAACTTGCATGATCCTCAATGCCACCAAAGACTTCAGAGAAATATATTGTCACCTGCGTTTTATGTAATGGCTTTAGTTTCTTCTTTTTTGAAGTTGTCACATTTTAAATCCCTAAATTAAATATCAAAGCTCAGACCATAATTCTTTTCTGCTTAATATGTTTTAGTTTAGATTTTTTGAAAAATCCATTCTTTTGCATTAAATAACATAATTATTCATCGGTCTCTGCTGTTGCTATTCACTGTTAGCTATTATTAAACTAGAGAAAAATGCGAAAGTATATGCCTACATTTTATTTATGAACTGAGTTCAATTGTACCATAAACATCAGATTGAGAAAAATAGCAAAATCACATGTTACTTTTAAGAAATAACCCCTTTTCAATGTACCTGATAAAAAAAAACTTTAGGCAGAAAAGTTTTTGTGGAAGTTAATATCTATACTGATCTAACTTCGAATCATGATTTTGTGAAGTTTATTATACCACTGTATTACGTAACAAAGTTTTCATGTACATTGATCTTTTTTTTTTTTTTACACGTAATGTTCTTTTTAATCAGTTAAATATTTATCTTAACTATGTTTGATAATAAAATTTCAGAATAAAAATGGCAAAGAATCTTCGATTTGTGATGGCATTAACAATATTGGCATTAACGTCCATGTTCAATCAAAATAAAATCCAGTCGATCTGTACATATTTATTTACAGAATCTGTAATGCGAATAACAAGAAAATACATGCACATTAAACATTAGTGAAGCATAAACATGTGTATACATTGTAGTTGTTAATGCCGTACATTTCTGTTTGCATTACAATGGCTTTAATTTATGTTTAAAATTTATCTCAGATGATTTTGTTTCAAATATTGATACGTTCATTTTCGGAAATCGACATTATAATTAAATTGTGGAAAATTTCAGCGTTTCAATACATCAGTATACAGGTACATATGTATAATTAAGTTTTAAATCATTTTTTTTTAATTGTGAGAAATAATCTTCCACTTTTAAAAATATTTTCTTTACACAAATAAAAAAAATCGGTGCAATTTTTATGATATATCTAGTTTCAATAATATTTTATCGGTCATGGTAGCCTAGTAGCAGGGCGTTCGCTTCATGATTGGAAGGCCTGAGGGTTCGATTCTCGTACGTCAAACCGAAAACGTAAACATAGGTACTGACTCTTCCTTCGCCATGCGCCCGGATTTAGAAATGAAATTTCCGGATGTTCGGATGAGACCTTAAAAACCGAAGTCCCGTGTCACGATAGGCGTTGGCACGATAAATACCTTCACTGCTCAATGGCCCTAAGTGCCGAGTATAGGTCTAAATTGGAAACCTTTCAGTTGTATATTGTGACATTTCTCGAATGGGACGTTAATCAATGTACAATCAATAAATCAATCCAAAATATTTAATATCTAAAAATATGTTCGTATCCCATCTCCATACATAAGTCACCTTCAGTGATTTCGACACTATCTCGTTGCCTGTTACGGAAATGGCATTTTGCAACAGCATCTTGATTTGATGTCAATTAATTGTTTGTCGTGTCCAAACTAAAATATCACGTTCATTTCCCAATTTAAAAAAAAAAAAAAAAACTAATTTAACAAAATTAGAAATACTCAGTATTATCTAAGAAATTTTAAAAAGCTAATTTTCACCATGTCGACAGATTTTTAAAAAAAAATTATTTCAAAATAAATTGCATTTTCATAATGAATTTCAAAATTTATATTTAATCCTTTCTATCAACTTCGTGCAAAATCTATCAAGTTAGCACTTTTTAAAATTTTGATAATTTTCTTTATTTCCATTGGAAAAAAATTAATAAATAGACAATAAGAACTGAAAATTATGACACCGCTCGTTAAACAAATGAATATTGTTATCATTCAAATTTCCCATAAAAAGGGTTTTTCTCGAGAAGGATGAGTTCAACACCCCAGAAGGTGAAGCAATCGTATAATTATTTCTTTGTGAACTGGTGCACAACGGGATTTTTAAAAAGCCACAAAATGTTTGTCGTTTGAACATTTTCTTTCATGTTTTTGAACCCACTTTTCGTGTTTTGCCTCGAAGATGACGTTATTGGCGGCTGTTACCGTGTTAACTATCTTTCATCTGATTGAATCAAATCACAGTCCTCCATACAAGGGAAATTTTAATCTGTTTTTGAGATCGGACAACAAGGTCTACATACTCAATATCAATGGAAAAAGAGTCCATTTGAAGAAACCCATCCTCAAGTAAGCAACAATTCTTTTAATTTCTCGATCGAGAATTTCACTCTTCTGGTTAAAAGGAAGGATGTAGATTTAAATCATGTAAATTAGATAATCGTGTTTCTTGTCCCACGCCAAACATACTGCTAATTTTTTAAAGGTCATTAGAATACATTGGGCACCTATCAAAAGCATCTGTGTTTCACAAGCCCATTTTGGTTTCCCCAAGTTACTTTAAGTGAATAATAAATGCAGGGAAGGAACGCTTTGCTAAACCTACACTCTTAACATATAACATTCTTTTACTGTGTTATCGCTTTGGTTGTCGTATTGCAAATTAAAGGAAGTTTTAAAACATTCTTGTGGAGTATATTATAAATATATATTAAAATTATTTTTTATCCATCTAATTCTTCTTATTATATTTTTTAATGGAGGGTCCAAATGCATTTGTCTTAGAATTCACATGCATGTTACTGTTCATTTTTTTTTTTTTAAAATTCTATTTAATGCCCTATACTTTTTTGTACGATACAAAGGTGTATGTCAAAAAGTGATGTCAAATGGGCCCATCGATCCCAAACACCTAGAATTGGCCTGACAGACATACAATTTAATGTTAACACGTATAATCTGCCTTTCTTGCTGTCTAGCCTGCATGTGAATTAGACAAAAGAGGAACAGTTAAGTGACCATGTCATTCAATTCAATACTTCGTTGTCCTTGAGTTGTACAAGTCAGCGAAATGTCAAAAAATATATTCACAAAATATCTTTATCATTTTGATCTCACGATTTATAAAGCCTCATGTTCCCTAGGATATTATTGTGTCTGATCTTGTCTTAATATTCAATGAAAGATCGTTCTTAATTTTATTAACAATCCAACTGTCATATGTTTTTGTAACCTTCTTTCAACCAGTGTATAAAAATTCTCAATTTCCTTCACATGTTAAGGAGGGATTAAAGTAAGTAATATTGCTTTGGTTGTCCAATTGTGAATTAATTGAAATTTCCAAAATATGCTTGTCCTGTCGTGTATGTTATAAAATGAACAAAACTTAAATGCATGTAATTAAGTAACCTTATGTATAGGTCTCCAACAAAAATGTTTATTTAATAGTCTTAGCACCTTGAATAATCAAGAAAATTCTCACATTGTTCCCCTAATTATAAATAATTATTTATTATGATTAAGTTATTTGTAGTTAATTTCCAAACAAAACTTATAAATGCTTACCTGAATATGTTGTCCAATGTGTGAAATTCTAAGTTTATTAGCTCTTAATAAATTTACTATATATAAATAAATATTCGAATTTAAATAATGCTGCTGCAATATATTCATTGATTTGCTTTGATAATACTGCTGTCAAAATAAGCAATTAAAATTCTGGTAGCTCTGTTTGGAAAGTCGTTTGTAACGACTAAAAAAAACATGCAGCTCGAGGTTACATGATCTCAAGAAGCAGGAACAAAATTGTGTTTCTACGTTATTCATCACAATGATTATCTATAGTATCCACAATTTATAATTTTACTCTAAATTAATAAAGTTAAAAAACAGATATTCAACTTATAGATTAATTATTGTAAACAGAAAAATGCACCTTTCATTACATATCATAGAGAAATTAGTTCTTGGTCAGCCTTCTTATGAGCCCAGAAAAGCCATGCATGTATGGGATAGCGATAGATAAATATTGAAGTAAAAAAAAATTACTGGGATATCAAAGATTTGATCTTAAACCACCCAATTTTCATAGATTTTAGAATCTTATATTTTTTTTCAAAGCCTCGAAGGAAAAATTGAAAATGGAAGAAGAGAGGCAGAGGGCTTCAATGTTAGTGAAATATTAGGGAGGAGGAACAATACAGCCATCAGAAAATCAACTCTCCGGCGCTCGCAACGGCAAACTTATCCAGGTATCTCTCTCTCTCTCTCATAACAGATTTGATCATTTTACTGTAATTTCTTTCAAAAGTGCTATTCTAGATTTAAGAAGTAGCATATTAGGGTTATCTGCTCTAAACTTATTTCCATGCAGGAACAAAATGGTGTGGCATTGGGAACGAAGCTACAAGTTATGAAGACTTGGGAACAAATAAGGATGTGGACATGTGTTGTCGAGATCATGACTTCTGTGATGTAAAAATTGAGGCTGGAAAAAGCAATTATGGTCTGAAGAACGATGGTTTTTTCACCATGTGAGTGTAGTTTGCATATATATGTATTACATGTACCTATTCAATACGTACATATAAATCCATATGTTGGAAAATTTAGAGGCATACAGGTACACATCCTGGATTTTTGAAAGTTTATTGATAAATTAATCGGCACTCTTCTTGGGGAAAAAAAAGGGAAACAGTGTGTACCAAAAGTTATAATGTGAATGTACAAAACGATTTTTAAGAAAAATACTTAATTAATCGACTCCAATTCTGCTCCCTTTTCTATTGGCGTGAATTCTCTTTTCATAATTTTAAATACATTTCATTTGTTTCTAGAGTGTCCTGTGAATGTGAGAAGGCATTTTATGGTTGTTTATCAGAGGTACCACAATACCCTCATGCAGCTATTATTGGATTTGTCTACTTTGATCTTTTTAGTCCTAAGTGCATTGGAAAGAAGAAAGTGTGTACTAGGTACATGTAAGTATCAAAGTGCCTTCAAGAAAACAGGTTTTTGAATTTGTAAAATTTTTAGTTTTCATTTAAAAATAAAAACAAAATGTCTAAACATAAACAAATTACAAATTCGATTTTTCTAATCTGTGCCATTTTAAGATTATAGTGATTATTCGTGGTAATACAATATGTCACTATATTTCCATTTCTATTTGTTTTCTCTGTGATAACTCTTTGAAAGTTAGTTGAGTTGATTTCTTGATCATTCTACCGGAATGTAAATTTCGCTAAGCGAAAGGTCAGGAGCTAAGAAGGCCTAATATGCATTCTCGTGCGGCTGTCTTTGTGTCTGACGCTATAAGGAGGCCTAATATGCATGTAAATCTCGTGCGGCTGTCTTTGTGTTTGACGTCAGTGGGCGGGGACTATTGAAATTGACATGTGAGGCATCGTGTAAGGGGATGCTCACTCCTCCATGGCACCTGATCCCACCTCTGATGTTTAAAGGTCCGTGTTTGCTCTGCTCCTATTTTGTATTGTTTAATGGACTTCTGAGCTTGAATACTGTTCGTTATCTCCATATATTTCATTAAATCTATTAGTCAACATTTTTAAAATCTAAATTTACAATTTTATTTCACAGTGAAATGGAAATATAAGGAATCACTGGCTAGTTAGTAGAGTATGTCAGGGACATCAACGATAGTTGGAAACGTGGGATAATTTAAGCATAACGGGCTTCGTCCGTTATGCAAATTATCCCACGTTTCCAACTATCGTTGATGTCCCTGGCATACTCTTCTAACTAGACAGTGATTCCTTAAATATATTCCATTACAAAATTTATAACTGATATGCATGTAACTCGACACTTGACACAAATTACATGTATTTCTCATATTTGTTATGTAATGCGGCCACAGTTTTAGCACACATGAGATTTATATATCAATAATAATTCGAATAACTAAGAATTTTAAAGGAGTCTATCAGATGCTGTTTTTATCTATAGATCTGCCTTTCCTCTTTAGGCCACCTTAGTTACTATTACCCATTGCTACCCGTATTCATCCGTCGGCATGCAAGGTGCGTCGTCCATTAACATTTGAACATTTTCATCTTCCACTCTTAAACTGCTTAACCAGTTTCAACCAATTTTGGTATCTATGGGCAATGGGGAACGAAAATTGTAAATTTCATGGTCTAAGCCCTCCTAAGGCCTAAGAGCTGGGCCAAAGCCATCAAAATAAATGCAATCTTCAAAAATCTACTTCTTTACTCCTGGACACCAAGCAGTCAAACAGTTAGCATTATTATAATAAGTATTCAGCCCTTCATCTTCATTCACTAGTTTATTTTGTTTTATCATATAATTATTAAATTGCCATTCTAGGGGTGTTGTTTCATACTCAGATAACCGTTAGGACTCTTTGGTCTTTTGATTGCATTTTTATCTTCTTGGATTTTAAAAAATCCTTTTCATATGTCTAGAAAAAGTGAAAACTGCAGTTTTGTCTACAAATTAAAGGTTAAACTATTCCATTCTTTACAAGCAGTATTAATTTTTCTTTAATAAAGCTGCCAAGATTTTACACCAGGTACGATTAGGAGAATAATGAGAAAAAAAAAGAGATCCCATCTCTGGAGAACTAAAAGACTATTGAAACCTTTCAGATTTTCAAAATCTATTTACACTCATTAGAGAAGCTTTAATTAAGGAATAATTTAAAGTTTTGTGTGAGTTATTGGTGTGTAAATCACTCAGACTTGTTACGTAGGCATATTTCATAAAAAATATTATGAATTTCATGAAAATTCATGAAAAATATGCCTTCGTTCAAGTCTGTGTGATTTACACACCAATAATTCAAACTAAACTTAAAAACATTCCTTATATTTACATTTTACATGCTTAAATGCACCAAAAATATACTAAATGTTTGAATTTCTCGCTGCCCTATATCGTCATTTTTTTAAAACGTCTCTGTAGCCTCATTGTGACCATTTTAGCGCAAGTTTCTCCGTGTATACAGTATTTCTACGCGTGAGTATACACAAAAATGGCTTTCAAATCAATTTCACAGTTGGCTTAGTAGAAAAACACAGCAAATGTAAATATGTATATGTACACTAAATACATTGAGACATATCGGAACTGCTGAAAAAATGACGTCACTTCCTAGTCCTCTGGTTATTGTACTATAAGATGTCAGTTAAAACATGAATGATATCTGCAGATAACAGCACGAACTTTCAGGATTATTTTGTGATACAAGTTTAAAGATTATTTCAGTTTTTTTTCATTGCTTTGCAGATTTTGGAAAACTTTTTGTGTTGCATGGAAGGAAAGTGAAAAAGTTGACTTAGTGTCGAATAAATTAGTCTGGTTTTTGTAATATTTTACCTGTAATCAAATGCTGTAAAATTTAAACATTTTAAATGTAATTTAATTTCTTTGTAATAGTTCATTTTGTTAGATACATTTAATTTGTAAAAAGGATTTGTTTCTTTGTGCTTTATATATGAATTTTTAATACTTACTTCAATATTTTTTTTTATTAAAAACATTTTACCATTTCAATATTGCAATGAATATAATTTTTTTCGCTGAGTTATCTTTTACTTAGGTAAGTTTCCAAAGCAAACCTTCACAATTCATTCTGTGATTTTGCCTGTTTGCTGAGAATGTAAATCAACGAGCCCTTGGGTTATTTTGTTTTCTATCTCTGTAGAAATGATGTGTTTGTTTAACAGACTGTTATGTGTGTTCTTCCTCTTTGAAAGCCAGTCCTTCGGTTGAGACCCTATAAAACGAGGTCCCCTGTCGCTGGGGGGTGCTGGCACGAAAAAGATCCCTCACTGCTCAAAGGCCGGAAAAAATACTGCGTTAACAAGTCTTAATTTGCAGCCATTTTCCGACAGGTGGTTGCATCTCAATATGAGTGAAAAATTCTCGAGTGGCCGTGAAACGAACAAACAAAAAATCCTCTTTGAGACTGGCAAGGTTTTGGAATTTTGTCCCCCAAAAAGACCAGTGTTGTTTACCTTATTTAATTGTCTTTTGAGTATACGAGTTTGATTTCTATAATCACCAATCAAAATAACGATGAACAAAACAAGTATAGAAAAAACTGAAGAAAAAAAACTTGTATTCAAGTTTTAGATTACATTTCTTTCCAGACGTCCTGCAGAATGGCAAAGAGGTTTTGTGGCATGAAAATGCATATGAATGCTTTCCTTAGCAGAGCGTATTTTAATAAAAAAAAAAAATATTGACATTAACCTATATACAAGTTACTAATCAGGAGTGAACCCAAAACGTATGCATACTTTACTTATTTGTGATAGGATGGTCTTCAATTAGAGGCGATCTTCAAACTTGTAAACCAGTTTCTCCCTTTCCACCAACAATATATTAAGCAATCCATTTCATACAAAGTATACCATATCAGAAGTAGAAGAGAGTACGTGTAAGGGAAACATACCATGTTAATACAAGATCATGTGGGTCATCCCCAATACCTATGAATTGTCTCTATCTTTTGATAATTACAAATTAAGCGACTGTTATGTATAATAGTAACTTCTTTAAAGAAAAAAATAAACTTTCATTTTTTTTTCCTGAATATCATAATTTACACAATTTTTAACGATAACTGACGAGTGCTTATGTATGATACATTTAAATTCATTAAGAAGAAAAATCAATCTTTGATAAGGATGAGGGCTCTTCAAAATGAACTCTGATAACAGTTATGTTGCAACTCTCAATAAATTATATGAAAAATGTAGTTGAGATAAATGTCCTGAAAAAATATTAATTTTTCTTATCAAGTTTAAGAAAGAATCTTTGCAGCTAACACAATTTGAAATATGAAAGTACGCTAGATAATTTATAAAGGTCGATATGAAAAAGAAAAAAATACATGATAAGGTGTTGTGAAAATGTGTTATAGTTTGAGTGCAAAAGTACAGTAGTTTTCTTCAAAGAAAAAAAAGAGCTTTCTGGACAAATGGCGAAGGAAATCTATAAGTGTTGCAAAGAGATGATATATAATTTGATGGTTAAACATTAAAGATAATTCAGAAACATGTTAACTTTATTACCAAACACATGACATGCATTTAAATGCCTTATAAATGATATATGAAAAATGGACTTGTCGCTGTAATCAGAACAACACTGTATATGTAATTCTGTATTATAAGAGATTTTCTTTCTCATACCCCAGTTTCTGAATCTTGTTAAGATAGACGATTGTAAATGATGTAGTATGTAACAAACCCATCCGTAAGAAAAACATGATGTAATTTCTTGAATCGATTTCGTTATTGTTTTTTTTAAATTGTTACATGTGATAGTATTTTAAAGCCTTCTCTGTAATGACTCTTTTATAGAAGCCCTGGTACACAAAGTCCCAGAATGTCTCAGAAGTATCTATCATAAGTCTTTGATAGTCTTAACTTATCAGGTAAAATTGGGTTGCTAGGTGTCATGGTTATCATGGCAACATTCTCCGAAGATTGAAAAATTGCATTTTCGAAAGTTGAAGACTCGATGTCTTATTCGGATTATAAAAACTATTTGGGAAGACGATAATTAAATGTGTTACCATTGAAACAAATTTTGAGTAGCTGTAATTTTTAAATAGCTGTAATTTTATTCATTTATTTTCATTACATATTCAGAAAATTATGTAAATGTAAGTTAAATGTAACCAAATAATAAGGAAAATAGGCAGTCTTGACTTTCCATGTCTTTCCTTAAGTTTGCAGTAATAATCAAGACTTGCCCACAAATTTTGTGCCACTCCACTGTATTACTATGGCAACCATCAATGTTACATTCTAAATAATTTCTTTATAGCATAAGTGGCGACAATGTGTGATGGTTTTTTTAAGAATAGTCAAATTGGTGGTCCTAGTTTTTCCTTATACTGGTCAATAAAGATTCAAAGTATCTGAAAATCGCATTTTTAAAATTTTTCCATCTGTTAAAATGGCAACCAAGACACATAGCAACCAATAGCTTTTTAAAAATCTATAATAACTTATGATCATGATATTCATATCATGAAACGATGAATGACTATTTCAACAAAGTATCGCTGTAGAAGAAACAGTTCCATGTAGATTTGAAATGACACTTCGGTGGTGACGTCACCGATGGTGGTGATGATGGTGCACGCGGTCGTGTTGAGCGTCGAACTCTTTGTGCCTGCAGACGAGAACTGGCACATGCGCATGGTGGACGCAGTAATCGCTGACACTTCCCAGAAAGGTTCGTCGGACTTTGCTCATACCTCTAGTCCCCACAATGATTAAGTCGGCTTTTTCCGTTTTTGATACTTCAATGATTGATTCACCAACTTTCCCGGTCATCTGCTTCATTTTCCCGCCAAGCTGAGAAAATAAACAGGAAATGTATCGATTATTTATGACAAAATTTCACTCCGCTATGTGCCAATTTTGACTTGCATTTCTAATAGTTTAATACAAAAGAAAAACTCGTTTGTTTTTATAACGATTAACGTTATCATTATTTTTAAATACATGTAATTGCGATTGATATTTAAAAATAACTGTATGAAGAACATCTACTTAAAATTCTTCGTAGTCATAAACATTGAATTGGAAAGTTCATCAATATCACTACATTATTTCCAAGAATTTGTCGAGCAAGTGTTTCTGATCATATAATATTATCAAACTGAATAGTGCTTACACCAAATTGCTTCATCTTTTCCGAATACTTGTGAACCAGGTCTCTGGTTCGAATTTCCTCCTCTTTCAGCAGCTCATTAACAACTCCTGGGTCAGTCAAAACTGCAGCTGTTAAAATATAAATAACCGCTTATTTCCAGATAAAAATTCATTAATTATCGGCGGAACATGTATCTTCCTAGAAAAAAAATATTTTGTCTTAATGAATTTGTTATACGTCATTGTAAATAAATATAAACATGTACATAAACTTGGAGGAACCAACTTGGCACACACAGAGCAAAATGTCATTATAGTAAGTTTATTTTTTAATGACTTTTTTAGCGGGGAGAGGATGAATTTTATGCATTTGTTAGCAACAAACTTTCACATGCTGCGTGATCACCAGTGCTGTTTTCTTTCCCTTCTTTCAGCTCATTTTAAAATTTTTCACATATGCACAGTAATATTCGGCGTATTGCAGTTAGCAGTTATCGAATAATACAGGTCTATATGAATTGTATTATATATATGATTGAAAGTAAAACGTTTCTTTAATTAATTACGTTAGTTTAATTAAGCAAAATGAAAGACAGTGAAAAGAAGGTTAAAAGCTGACATTTTTTCACATTTTTTTTTCTCAGGAAGTATAACGAAGATCATTTCTTTGCAATTTTTTATTTATGGAAATTATATATCAACATACGTGCCTGGATCACCCCATGGAATTCTGGGACATGGACCAATACAATGTTATCACCTTCCTTTCTCACATGATCCAGATAAACTGAAAGTGAAATAAGAAACATTTGGGATTACATTATTCCTGAATATTGTGTAAACATGTTCACTAACTTAGTAATGGTTTCATTCAAAAAAAAGGCAATCATAATCAAGTTAAGATGTTATATAGTGCTTGAAGATATCTCCATCTTATCCCACCTAAAAATAAAACAGATACAGTAATAGAAGTTAACTACATATATAACCATTAGCTGTCTAATCCCCGTGTAATAATATTACTGGACCAGGTGTTGCAACAAGCTATTTCATGAAATTTTCACTAACACGGTTTGCCGCATGAAAGGAGTTTATAATATATAAAATTCCCAAAATACATGTAAATAAGGGATACTAAGCGCTATAGAGAATCGATGTCTTTGATTTTCAAACACTTGTCTGCATGTTTCGATGCTATCAAAAGGCATCAAACGGCGGTATTTTTATTGTATTAACATCGCACATCTTCTCTTAATAACCGTCTCTCTAGAAGAATTTCTACACAAATTGAGGTCTAAAATCGTGTGTTGTGGTGGATATCTGTCTTCGGTGTTTGGTATTTAACCGGAAATGTTTCCCACTAATTCTTCCACTCACGGAAACATCCCCATGAAATCTTTTAATCTTTGGGTTTTTAGCTTTTTGTTTACACAGGTTTCTTCTGATGGAAACAGAGTTTCCAAAAACCGGTGAAAAGAGTGAATTAACCATTCCTTTTTTCATCACTTGCTCATCAATTCTCCAGAATAATGACTTCTTGGGGACAGATTCTTTTAGAGTGTGGGCTGATCTAATCATTATTTTGTTCAAAAACAAAACAAAGAATTCGGCAAAACAAGATTCTCTGCTTTCACTAATTAACCAAATGACAACCACGTGTCTAGGAAATTCTATTTTAAGAATCTGAATGGTTTCTTGGGTTACATTTAAAATGTTGTTTGTTGGATCGAGGGCTTGATAAATAAAATACATTAGCTTCACTAAGGAATATACCGGGGGGAAATAATGGTTTCTAAAGAAGTCATATAAACATAAATAACGGAGAGTTATTTCCACAGAAAGAAAACTCTGATAATGAGAACATTCATCACAGATCGCAACACATGTTTCCACAAAGAGCAGCATTGCTAATTGCAGGGCTTTGATTAGTAGCTATCTAGATGTCATGCAATAAATCTTATTCGATTGTCATTCTTATGTTTAAATAAACAATTTAGGTGTAAATAATGTTCTTCAAGATAAATATGCAATGAACAAGTGAGAAATAATGATTTCAGAATCAATATATTTGAATAAAACTAATCACTGTTTCTATAGGCCCGTTTGACAATGAACCAGAGGATAATACATTGCCTCTCATGTCCCTCTCGTTTAAGTCAACATTTTCTATGGCGTTGATTGAGTGAGTCGAGTCTCAAGACTTGATATCGCTTTAACAAATATATGAATTCTCCATCTTTTTATGTCAGTTTCTAGAATAATCGAAAGATCCCGTCGAGGTATGCCCCAATTTTCATCTCCTAAATACTCATATTATACACTTGTTTTATCCCGGTGTTTCATTATTTTTACGACGTGCAATTTAATTTCTTGAAAATACCTTAAGTTACATGTGGTATAAAATCAAAGAATCTGCAATTAGCTCGTCCTGTTGGTTTAAATCTTTGGATGCAGATGCTTCTAAAGAGTATCTCGTTAATTAAAGGTACAAATTTTTAACTAAACCATTTTATCAATTTGATCAACAGATGTTGGATAGCATTAGTTTCTGTGTAGGCTTTAATATAACAACCTGGCTATCTTAATTAAGACAATTACAATACCTCCCCTTATTTAAGTATGATGAAATCAGATCTATATCTTTGCATTTCCTTATTTAAATTTATTGACATCAGATCTATATCTTAACTACTAAAATATTATTTTTGACGTTCATTCCTTGCATTCTGGATATTACATTACAAATTTAGAGTACAATTAACTTGATCAATGGAATCGTTAGCACTGTATAAAATCATATTGATTTAAGCGTAATTAGATAACTATAACATTTTCCACATATTGATGTATATATCAAATATTTCGTTAAGCGGAGTGACAAATATATTGATAGATATTCAAATAACTAGCTCCTATTCAGGATCTATCTATACATAAACTCTATACAGATGATGTCTTTAAAATGTGTATATTTCCTGAATTCCCGGGCCCTGCACCGAATTTAAAATGTACATTGACTTTCACCTTGCGAAGAATTGTTGTTGAGTATATGTACTTCCTAATGTTAGAAATACTGCATTCAGTAGAAATCATATTTATTAAAAGCTATTTCAGTGATAATGGATATATTTCTGGACAATTTGCTTTGAATACTGTCAAGTCTTTTAATGCCAAAGTGTTGATAACTCGAACATACTAGCTATAGGGAATTTTATCTCATTTGATGACATCCCTTGGGTAATATCTCAATTTATAATTGATAAATGTCAACAAGCATCTGATCATATAATTAATCAAGTAAACAGCCAATGGTTGGTATTTTGTATAATCAAAGAAAATAATTCTTCATTATTGACAGATAAATATTACTTATAATGATTGATACCACAAAAAAAAAAAAAAAAAAAAAAAAAAAATCACTATACTCACAATTAAATGCGTACTCAGAAAAACAGCTGTCATCTACTCCAATAATCACCGTTCTAGAAGATTTAACAGCGTACGGGGAGTTGGCCATTTTATTTTTCTTCTTGTTCCGATTTTCTTGGGGTTTTGCTTATCACTGGCAATAATATCTCACTACCTTTCCCACTGGTTCAAAGCGCACTGGTAACCCCGAGCCAAGAGCAACCCTATATATTCTCTACTCACTCTTTAATTGTTTATATTGCTGATTTCTCCTCGGAATAACACTTCCGATTCTGACTTCAAGGTGACATTTGCCCCTCGGAATTCATCGGAAATCGAATCGGAGATTTAATGGTATTTACACGTTATTCAGCGGCTCAAGACTCACTCAAGGAGTTTTCTCATTTTGGCTTGATTCACTTCATCTAATTTTGAATTCGTTTCCAATCATTTCTCACTTGTAACAAGCCCTTTGCTGTAAGGGGGTTTTATTTATGCAGCCAGTCGAAAAATGAATCAATGCATACTGTGAATTTGTGCGAGATGTATGGAGATAGTAATTCCTCTCTACTTGTGGTCTTTATATTTAAGTAATTCCTCGCTTCTTGTGATCGTTATATCTTAATGGGGAGTGCGAGAAAGCTTTCACAAAAGATTAATAATTCTGAGAAAAATTTCTTTCATTTCTCAATTATTTTATTACACTAGATCTTCTTCAGTAATTTTTTTAATTCATAGATGCATTGAAATCTTTAAACACTGTTTTGATTTTTAAATAAAATTAAATGTTAAACAAGTAATAGCTTTTCAAAAAGCTTGCCTGACTAATCAATTAATATCTATGGAACGTATGAGCAAGAGAGGTGCTAAACGTTTGCGTCATCAAGGAGCGACATAGTTGCGATACTTCATTACACAAGATGTACAATTGACTTTCTCAAATCTCATATCCAAATACTGCAGATTAACAAATATCTAAGACATGCCACTATTCAATCATTTATTAGTTAGCCCACGGGCTGACAAGTTACGTTGGGATGAAACTCTAACTTTAAGTGCGATAGCGTAGATAATAATTTTGGGGAAAATAATTAGATGACTCTAAAGAAATTCATATTACATATACTCTCTTACTAGAGGGCGCACTTCTCTGGTCAATGATAGATTGATGAGACGGCCTCTTTTTATAGACTGGTCTGTTTTCCGTCGTTCTCGACGTCGAAGTAAATTATGAACAGTTTTAACTGCCTTTTCTTGAAGTGTTTGAGACAAAAATGCTTCAATGTTGTTCTAGAACTCAAAGTAAATGGACTGTACACTTTATAGGTAGAGCAAAACAAGATACTAATAACACCCCCACCCCCCAACCCGGACGAAACTCACGCGCTGATGGTCTTACCATATACATGTATTATAAATGAGTTTAAAAATACATCTTTATGTGCAGTTCTAAAATTGTTTAGTTTTTCTTTTCAATCGATTTCAGGACCTTGCTCATAATTATAATAACGTGCCTTTACTTGAAATGAAAACTAGTACAGATCATGATGCCTTCTTCATTTTGCCGATTCTTTGCTTAGAACCTTACGGGAGTTAAGCCCATTTCTATATGGGTACTGACCTACTATTGTCACTATCCTTGAACATCAGAAAGTATGAAATAATATGCTACTGGCTGACTTTCTAAGCTTTTTCCAAAACCTAACCTTGTAACGTACATTATTAATAAATGTAATATTAAAAGTAAAGGTGGGAAACAGACTGAATCAAGAAGGGATGTCCCATTTACTAGGTCTAGGGAGTTTGTTTATGATTGGACTAGTTCACTTATGGGATAAATAGTAAGAATAATCAGCAAATCCATTGCTTTAGTGTTGCCTGCCCATATACAATGTGTTCTTTTAAAAATGAGATAAAATTTACTGTTAATAAAAAATCTGAAGCTTAAGAATCAGGTTAAAAGAATAAACGTTATTTTTTTCCATAGAAGTTATCACACCCATTCAATAGAACAATCCAAGAAAAAGGCGCGAAGATAATTTACATGTGACATTTGGCGCGAAATGATTGTGTCACCCCTTTTGTAGAAGGCAAATGGACTAATCCAGTAGTTTAGAAACGCAGAAAAAATGTTACACGGATATGCCCGTACAAAGAATTGCAAAGAATAAATATGTGCATGCCAAAAAAACTGAAGGAATTAAACACATCATCATTTTGCATCAATAATACGATTTTTTCTTCAGCAAACTGTTTTGGTTTAAATGCAGGTAACAAATTCCAGTGTAAATCAGCTTCCAGAAAATCTAGTTCATTAAGAATAATCGCTTAGTTTCGGATCTTGAAAAAATTAATCCTTATACTGCCTGACGCACGTGGCGTCAGGCAATAAGTACATATGTACTGAGAGGAAATTATTTATAAGATCACTGTTTCTTTTTGGACTAAATCCTCCAATTGCTGTATTTGGGTTTGAAGTGCTGCTATATTATTTCGCTATGTTTTTTTTTCTATTATAAACCTACATATTATTCACTGTGGAATTTGCGACCTTCAAGTTATAGCGAAAATTAACACATTCGACTATTTTCCTCACCTCAATTTTTCAGTTGATCGACCTTTTTATACACAAATGCTATAAATAAAATGTAATTTTAATGATTTTCCCCTATATATTCCTATGTAAAAATTTGATCTCCTATTGTGGCCCTGTCCTATCCCCAAGAATCATGATTTGCACACTGTCTGAGGATACATGTGGCTTTTTGCAAATAAATCATATTTTAAACTTATTCCGCGCGTCCTCGACGGTGACCACTTGGTCTAGAAACAGTCTAATCCGTCCGTAGTTCATGCTATGAGGGCTCACACTTCTGTAATCGATGAACGCTAAAACTTCATATCTTGAAAGGTTTTTATCATTAAGAAAAATGAAAAAGAAATCCTTTCATAAAATTTAAGTCCAATGCCTGTCGCGTGTTTGAGGATCTATGAACTTCGACAGAATCAATACACAGTTTTGTAATTGTGTCCTCTCAAAAATTTAGAAATTGTTAATTTTGTATATCACAATTTAATTAATTGTAAATTTCTAAATTCTAAATTTGGGAGAAGACAATCGTAACAACTGATAGAAGGTCTCTTATTCTAGATTGAACTTAAATTTCAAAAAGAAGGGGGGGGGCCGAAGAAGGTAAATTTAATATGAATCATCAAGAGAGATTGTCTGAGACTCAGAACATGGAAAAAGATAAGCAAATTGAAATACATGTACATGTATTAAGGTGTACATCACTCCCTTGTGCTGTTGTCCTCGTGTTCGCCGCCCTCTCTTGCAAAGTTTTATAATAACCTTTATCTCAAAGAATTCGTTTTATTTCCATTCCGTAGACAACGAGAATACTAGATCAAGAAACTATGGACTACAATGCACTTTCCGTATGGATGCATCGACCATGTAATCTTTCCAGCCCACAATATACCAGTGTGAATGAGATGTCTTTTACATGTAACAATACCCCTAGACGTAGGTAGTCATGGACATGGGTCATACAATAGACCAAATACATTTAAAGTCTCAGTTGATTCACTTTTACCTTAATAAACAATTAGGTCTTATCATATTCGCACTAAACTTTACTCGGTTCCCTTGAAAATTTGAATGGACTATTTAAGGAAGATAAATCAGGTCCATATTTGGGTTCTTTAACGGCAGAATACTAGGTGGTGTTTGCTACATGTATTATAGATGTGCCCAGCATAGGCTCTTTAAGCCAACATGGGTGTCAGAAGCTAAGATAATAATTCCGATTCAACCTTCGCTGTAACTAAAATTTGCCAACAAAGGAGTAGATGCTGTGAACATTAGTAACATTCTAATTCATGAAAAAGTTAATTACTGCATTCCACCATACTTCAAGTTGAAGTGTAAACCCTGCATTTTCTGCAGATACTTCCTAACTGTTGCTTCAAAACTTTTCAATTATAAACAAACCTTACAATGCCTAGATATGAACAAATAAAAAAAAATCTTCTTAAAAGTGTCCTTGCTCTTCCTCTGCTTTCAACTATATATAGTCCCGCTGGACACGTCATTACTGGTGATGTAAATATAGAACAGTACTTCAATTATATTATGAATTCTGTCGAGGATTATGTCAGACGATGGGCGAAATATAATGGGTAAGTCTTGAACACTTATTTTAAAGAACTGTTTTAGAAAAATTAAGAGAGAATATGCAAACCATGTGTCCTTCCCTCTTCACTACGAGGGTCTTTCAATAAATAATGCAAAAGGTCATCGATCTAAAATAGGAAAAGCATGTAAAGCAGATTCTTAATACTTTCAATCCCTCAAAGCATTCCCTGTTAACATTTACACATGTCTAATGTCTTTGGACCCATGACCAGAAAACCTCAGCATACTCATCTTTAGGGATGCCCTAAGACTCTGATGAATAGCACTTTCCATGATATACCTGAAATTGTAAAATCTTCATTTGATTGCTTTCATATGTTTTTGGAAGAAACAGATTTCACAATGGCTGAGATCTAGCGAATATGGAGTATGTCCAAGCTCTGTAAACTTTTCTTTCTTCAAAATTTTATTTATTTCTCTATGCTTATTTGCAGCAACGTTTTCAGGTGCAGAAAAAATACCATGGGGACTGGTATTTGGGCTTGCTTTGCAGGAAATTTGCTTGACTTTCCTTAGTGAAATTTTAACATAAATTTTACCATTGATAGTCCTTCCTTTGGCTGTATATACATGTTTTACTGGACCTCTTGAATAATAAGAAAATTAATAAAACATATTTGGAGCCCTTGCTTTTCTTTGCAATAATAGGACGACAGCTTTCTCTTTGATTCCACATTTTATTCTTGATCTTCCTTTTCGGCTATAAAAAGTATACACCCATGTTTCGTCATCCATCACTCAAGTTTATCAAATCTTCTTTTTTGTAAAAAATGTTTATTTTTAGATAGACCATTGGCACATTTAACGTGTGATTCCTCTTAGGCATATGTAAAGAAATAAGGCACCAATCTGATAAAATTATTGTAAGATTTATTTCAATTGTCAAAACTCTATAAACTGTTATGACGATGAAATGTTTCGTGTTTTAGCAAAGTCTATCAACCGAAATTTGGCATTTTCAGATATCATGTTGTTCACAGTATCGATATTTTTGGTGCCCCAACAGATTTCGATCGACCAGTTTGACTGCGATCTTTTAATTGTATATTTTTATTTTAAATTTCCAAATCCGTCTGAAAACTATACAGCATGAAAGACTAGTCTTTCCACATATCAAAATTATATCTTTAATATGGGTTAGTCAGCTATTTATGTAATGAAGCACAGCTTTCACATACGCCCTCATTTTCATCTTCTTGGCAGAGATCATTATTAAACAGTTTTCAGGTCAGTGTAGTGACCATGCTTACTTTAAATCTGAATTCCTTTGCGACAACAA